CCGCCGGGGAGCGGGGCGGGGATGCACCAGGCTGCGGGCGGACTCTTAGTACGGGGCCCCCCCCTTCGCCGCCACGAGGATAAGAAGAATCGCAAAGGTACCATTTTCGGGCCCCCTGGTGCCAGGTGCGGAGAAAAGGAGCCTCAAATCAGCGGTGGGCTTAGGGGATGGGCACAAACCGGGCAGCCCGCACTTCAGGGGGCCCCAACATTTTGCATCCGTCTTGCGTGTAGGTCATCAAAGTGAAGCCTCTAAAAGGGCCCCAAATGAGTTTCGTGCCCAGCACCCCAACAACCCTCAGGCCACCGCTGCTCAAATACCGGGGCTGTCGCAGAGGCCAGCGGGGGCTTGGCAGGCAGCTACCTGAAGAGGAGGGGGACCCTAGCCAGCCGTCCCTTTCTGCGGGGTGGCAGGGACTGCAGGACTCCACCCTCCCCTCCGGTGCGCCTGGCGGGATGATCATCCTGGCACCGTGGCCTGCTCAGTCTGAGCTGGTTTTAGTAACTTGGGAGTCTATTGTCCTTCACAGCACAACCGCAGCAAAGCCACGGTGTTAACATCTGTTCCTTCAGCTCTGCTGACCGTATTTGTTTTTTTTCCCTTTGATAATATTAAACTTCAGAATCCAAACTGTGCCCTCTCCAGACCTGATGAGTAGCTGTGCTGCTGCTCTGATGCTCAGCTTGGAGCACTGGTCCCTCCTAGTTGCTCATTCCAAAACCCCTCTTTTAAATAAAATGGGGAAACCCACTAGGTGAGTGAAGGCTGGAGAGGGGAATAGGAGTGCTAGGAAATGTGGAGTCTTTCTGTCCATGTCACCCAATAGAAATGGAGTGTTTCCTTTTTCTTCCTGTGTTTGGCAGTCAGCTGTGTGCAAAGCCTTTGCTGGACTCTGCGATAGCCTGATGATTTGTGGCTTGTTTTCTCTGCTGGGCTGTTTATCTAGGTCAGCTGGGTGCATGATGTAGGCACCGTTTCCGGCTGGCGGGAAGGAGGGTTATTCCAGTTCGCTGGCTTTCCCACCCGGAGAGGAGGGGACAAGCGTGGGCTCACCTTCCTGCTGCCCAATCAGATCTGCTGCAGGGTCCTCAGCTCAGGCTGATGCCATCTATTGCATGTCTCAGGCTTGGCAGAGAGTGAATCATCGCAGCTGTGTGCACACACTCCAGGATATGACACACAGGGCCCGGAGATTTGGTATCACTCCTCATTTGGTGATGGGCCTATGAGTCTTGAACAGGATGGCTGCATTTTATCTTGAGATTTAGAACAATGCATTCAGCTGCAGGGGATGGGGGTGGCAGTTCTCTTTTTCACTTGCTCAACAGGGGCTTTACCAAAAAAAAAATGTATTCACTTCCTCCCTCTGGAGTACATTAAACCATATGTGGTCTAGTTGTCAAATTGCCTAAGTGAGACATTCAGTGCAGAGGCATAAAATGCCAGAGAGTGAGAGAAATATAGAGTGTTTATAGAGAATATAGTAATGTGTTTATGGAGATAACAGAAACCACAGGAATAGACATGTATGGGACGTGAATGTTTAGACTGAGAAAACAGGGAGTTTTTAAGAGGACAGAGGCATAGCTGGATGGGAGGTGATGGATCTGTATTGCAGCGAGTTCTCTTGGGTGCCTTATGTGGCCCCAGTTGGACTCGTGTACCGCGGGGGTGGGCAACACGTGGTCTGTGCCACAAGTGGCAAAGGCGCTTAGGCAGCCTCTGTGTGGCATACAGCAGATGTAGGAAGGGAAGGCAGCACAGCAGCAGACAGGGCAGAAAGCAGAGCAATAGATCAGGCAGGGGAAAGGGATCAGAGCATCACTCATGGAGGAACAGGGCTAATTTGTGTCAAAAAGGTTGGCCCCTACTGGTCTAACCATGTAAATGAGCTGGTTGGACTCTGCAAGGCAGAAATGTGGAACTCTAGATGCATTTCTGCGCGCATCCCTTGCTCCCTAGGCTTGGACTGAGATTCTTCTGTGATTTCTTTGATCATATCCCACTGCTTGCTGGCTGAATGATGTCCCTTGCTGTCCATTGCAGGGTGATGTATGAGTGTTCCACATCCACAGGAAAGGCCTTGCTCTGCTCTCAGAATCACAGGTGTCAGAATCTGGGTTTGCTAAGGAGATCTCATGAACCCAGGAGTAAATTAGCAAAAATGTACGAAGTACACCAGCATCAATGTTTTAACAGCCAGTATAAGTTTGGACTTGATCCTCAATGCACAGTAGTGCCTGAACATGACAGTGTCTGAGTTGTTGTTCCACAGGTGTTAAAAATAGTCTCTCCTTTTCAATGGTCTTGATGATCTGTTAATCAAGCTAACCTTTCTCAGGGCAATTCTGCACTCTGCTAGCTGCTCCAAGTCTCTGTCCTCCTATTTCACAACCCTGGAGACTCTTTAGTTCTTTTTCAGAATCATAAATCAACCCATGGAGACCAGTGTTCAGCAGCAGCTAGGGTTTCAGCTTCAGTTAAGCAGGAAAGGCAGGGTGAGTCAGCTGAAGATGAGGCTCTGTCCCTGCTCTATGCAGTCATAAGTCTGGAAAAATCTTTTTTTCTTCATTCTGCCTTTCAAAACAAGTCGAATATTATATTCTGGGGTGTGTGTATGTGATAAGAATATAGGAATAGCCCCCCTCTTGTTTCTCTGTTCTAGGTTTGTTGTGCTCTTTACGGATGATTTGGGTCACATATCTCAATGGCATGCCATCATGGCAGGAAGCTTGGCTGGCATGGTTGCAACCGTAGCAACTTACCCAACTGATGTCATTAAAACCCGACTCATTGTGCAGAACCGATTGGAACCATCTTATAAAGGAATTCTTCATGCTTTCTACACAATATATCATCAAGAGGGATTCCTGGCTCTCTATCGTGGTGTTTCGTCAACTGTTTTAGGTAAGCTAACAGTATATTTCTGAGCTTTGCTGCATGTATGGATGTTAAAACATCCATGTGTAGAACTTGCTTGGCACATCTTAAAATAACAAATGGCTCTTTAGAAAGCATATATATGCACACAGCGCTGTAGGTATCAACTTGTGTCAATCTTGTCATTGCTACAACAGCTAAATTCCTCTAAACTCTGAGGGGCTGCCAGTGTAGTATGTGTGATTAAAAGAATCCAAGAACACATTTTTGCTTTAGCTTTTTTTACTTTGGGTTGAGAAGCAGCATTTCCCTCCTTCACTTAAGAAAAACAATATATACCTATAATTCCTAGAACCTGGTCAAAGCAATGTAACAGCAATATTATATGCATGAAAGGTGAAGCTAGCAGTATGTCTCTGTGACTGAGGCAGATGTGACTTGTTATTTATTGTTTAAATTATTTATCATCTCTCTGCAGCTTTGCAGGATACCACGCTTTAATGCAGTAGGATGGTTTATACAAATTGGGTTATAACTTTCAAATGCTTGTTGTTTTTCCTGTTGTAATCAAATTTAAATGTGGTGCAAGCAGGAACAGAGCTAATGCATCAAACGAGACCGCAATGTCACTCAGGACCCTGGATGCTGAGGCAGCCCCGTTATACCTGTGGGCACTCTTGGGGCTGGGGTAAAGTGAAGAAAGTGACTGAAACCAAGATCTAAGAGGCACCAGCACAATCTACAGGTTGCATTTGCAAATGTCTAATGCCATATTTGGACATTAAAACATAAAGCTTAAATAAGACCTTCCCTTGATACTACAGTATCTAACAAGTACGGGTGTCTTGGGTTCAGTCGGGCACCATTTAGATCATCAGTGGTGTAAGAAGAAAGCATGGCTCTTTCTTTATGCTGTGCTGCTTGCTCATGGGTGACCTTTTCTGTCTGGTTTGCTTTACAGGCACTGTCCCATTTTCTGCTGGCTCATTATTCGTGTATATCAACCTGGACAAAATCTGGCGAGAGCCTAGCAATCACTTCACTCCCCTCCAGAACTTCATCAATGGCTGTCTTGCTGCTGGTGTAGCACAGACACTTTCCTTCCCCTTTGAAACTGTGAAACGGAAAATGCAGGTATGGAGCACTATTATTGTTACCATTTTTCTGCAGTTTGCATTTATTTCTAGAATTTTGGAACTAGGAACAAGCCAACTGATCAGTTTCCACCTCATGTCCATTGCAAAGAGGGCTGAGATGTGTTATTTCTTCTAGAAGAAATGGTTGATATTTGATTTAGCTTGAGATTTTTATTTGTTGCGACTTACTCAAATGATATAATTCCCTCCTAGGGCTGTCAGGTTTTGGTTTTTTTTTCAGTAAACTGCATCCTTTCTCCACTTCATGTAGTTGTATATTCCATCAGATCTCCACACTTGAGAACCAACAGCCTTCTCTGATGTGATACTGTACAACCTTAGGTACTAGGAGAGTTGCACAAAAGAAGAGCTGACTCCAGAGCTGCGGTGTGCCCTTTCATTGCGTACACACTCCTAATTGAGAATGCAGTGAGTTTAGTCAGAAGTTATTAATTACTGAAAATCAGTATCATCCTTAGTCCTGCTTCCAGCTGAGCCTAATGCTTGCTGGAAATTCTTGTTGTCAACTCTGCAGGAATATCAGCTGCATAAACACAGCATCGTTTATGCCACTTGTACCTTCCCTGAAAGTCTAAGCTTTCTGCAGTTTCCATCTGATCCACAAGATTCCTTGATACTGTATCTTATTCTCATTAAAAAAATCATCATCGGACTAACTAGCCAGTGGTTGTCATAAACTGGTGGCTGCTTGGCCCTAAGAAAAATGAACTCATAGGAATGTGGGATTGGAAGGACCTTGCAATTGCAAGCAACTATAGCTTAATTCCCTTCCCAAAGTGATCTGCTGCTTGGTGTGCTCATCTCCACATCCTGAGTGCCCTTGCTTACAGTCCAGTGTGGAAGTCAAGCAAAGGTCATCCCTTACCCCTGAGGGAGTTCAGCTTGGACTGGAAGCTTCAGATGGTAGAAGTGGGACTTCAGGTCTGGGTCTGCAGGTTGGATACCCTACGTAAGTGCCAAGTAAAGGACTAGTACAATGAATGCCCAGTCCTGGGGATCCTCCCTTCATCCCTCAGATGTAAAACTTTATTAGAAAGTGTTAAAAATTATGCTTACTTACATGGCTTTGTAGTTAAACTCCTTCCTTTGCCAAATACTTCAAGGAGGAAAACAAATCCCCTCAATTCAAACTTTGTTTTCAGTTCCCTTGAGTTTTTTAAAAAGCTGTAATGTAGGCCCCCCCAAAATAGCATGGAGTCTGATTTCCCTGCTGTTATGCCTTCAATGCTTTTTTTCCCCCCACCTGATGTACCCAAATAAGACTCGGATACAGAGAACGTGTATATGGTAGACACAAGTCCATACCTACCGTAGTCTATACAAAATAAGGCAAAGATAAGGTCACTTTCTCATGAGTTTCTCCTTATCTTTAACGGCCTGTGGTTTTCAGTACGTTGGTAATTTGGGCGTTAATTTTTACTAGTTTGAAAGAAGTAAAATTCAATAGCTTCAGGCCTCAGGTTAAAAAGGTCCCTGGCAGGTTTTGTCCTGGGGAGCGGGGTGGTAAAGGACAACCCAGCTTTGTTTCTTTCCAACCACTGGGTTGTGCTGTTTCATCTATTTGAGGCATAATTGCCCTTGCTTTCTTTTGGACACTTCTGTCCAGCATGTTGAGAAATGAGGTTTACTGCAGTATTTCTGCAGTACCGGGCTTAGGGGATGGCAAACTGGGCAACTGCCCAGGGCCCCGCATTTTAGGGGCCCCCAAAATTTTGCAACAATTTTTGAGGGGGTGTTGAAGTTTTTGCAAGGAAGTGGCTCTGTTTGCATTTTAACACTCAACTATTTATCTAATTCACAATACAACTGTGGAGGTCATCAAAATTAAGCCTCTAAGGGGCCCCAATGACTCTCTTGCCTAGGGTCCCAACAACCCTAAGGCCACCACTGATTTCTGTAAGGAACTGTCCCAAATCTATGGAAAGTAAATTTGTTAGAAATAATCTGAAGGGAAAACAGGATCCAAGTGACACTTTCTTGGTACACTACAGTGATCTGCTTTCATACTGACAAACATATAAACTGCAGTAGAGGCATTCAGGTGATTTGAGCTGGAAGGACCCATCTGTTCCTAGCACTTCACTGACAAACTGGAGGGAAGGAAGAGTGTACTTGGGGAACCTAGGAGGATTCGTATCGAATCAGTAGCTTCTGATTTGTTGTTTTAAACAATTCAAGGCAGCTCAAACACAAGTTAATTGTGGATTGGCTGCAGCAGGGTTGTGGGGTCCAAGAAATGATGTTAAAAAATTAACATCAGTGCATTGCTCAGGCTTGTGGGTTCAGTTCTGCACTGATCTCACCTGCTGGGGGTCTGCTCCACCTTCACTGAAGTGAAAGGAAAACCTGCCAGTGGGAACTGGGCCAAGGGAGTGGCAGGTGAGAGAAAACAGAAGGAA